CTCCTAATCTTGGTCTTGGCTGGATTACACTTGTATTTGTTAGTGTTTTGTATTTGTATTTGTTACACTTGAGTTGTAATTTCTTTTATATACCTGTAACTTAAGCAAGTAACCACCTTGTGGTTAAGCTGTTGACATTTTGTATTCGTTTGATTTGGGTAATAATAATTTACATGTTACCCGTTGAAAGAGCTCTCAAGGGAACAAATGGGCCAAATTGGATAGGGTAATGGTGAACTGTGAATGGGAGGCTCTACAGTGGGATTGTTGGGCTGAATTTAAGCCCATGGAGTTCCAATCTGACCACTGTCCTGTTCTGCTCCACCTCATCCAATCTTCCACCAGAGGCCCTAAACCCTTCAAATTCTTCAACATGTGGCTTAAACATGATTCCTTTGATAATACCTTGAAGCATGTATGGGACATGAGGATTAATGGTACTAGACAGTTTAAACTCTACAGAAAACTTAAGTTGCTGAAACATCCTCTCAAACATTTGAACAACAAGGATTTTGCACATATCTCTTCCAGGGCTGAGGAGGCTAGAAAATCCTATACTGATCTCATGGATAAGCTTTACAAGGACCCTGATAACTTGGAGCTACTCCAGCTTGTTGCCATTACCAGGAAGAAAGCCTCTTTCTACTCTGATGCAGAAAGATCCTTTTTTCAACAAAAGGTGAAGTGTAACTTTATTAATGAAGGGGATAAATGCACAAAATTCTTCCATGCAATGGTGAAGAAGCAAAGTGTGTTGAATGCCATCCCTGTTTTGATTACATCCCAAGGTACTACTACTACTTCTTTGGAGGCTATTGTTGAGGAATTCATTGGCTACTACAGGCAGATTTTTGGTAATACAGTACCTACTACCCTAGTGGATTGGAATGTCTTTATAGAGGGCCCCGTGATCCAACACCAGGATGCAACTGAGTTGGTGAGAAATGTGGATAGAACTGAAGTCAAAGAAGCCCTATTCAGCATTGGTGATGATAAGGCCCCAGGCCCTGATGGTTATACAGCTGCCTTCTTCAAGAAGAAATGGGATATTGTTGGTGATACTGTTTTTGATGCTGTTTCTGAGTTCTTTTTGAGTGGGAGACTCCT